TATGGGGGCGTGGGCGGGGCTCTATGGGGCGTGGGCGGGATTAATCAGCACTGAGTGTAAACCAATGGAGGGGATATCTTCCTGTGGACGTGGAGACGCGGCCGCTGTGGTCCATGTGCTATGCGCTGGGCTGTTGGCCTGGGGAGATTGATGTGCGTTGCGGAGCGGTGTCCTCTTAGCGAGTGTATGGACGCGGCGAGGGCCCGTGCGTAATGCGCGGATTTATTGGCTTGGCGTGGGTACATTGGCTTTAAGGACGCGGTATCACTTCGGACACATATCCGCCTCTATGAAAGGAACGTGCGCTCGTGTCTTTTTGGTGCGTCTGATCAAGGCGCAGGAAATAATATGGCGTCGTCCCCGCAGATAAACTCGCAGTCATGAGAACCGGAGTATCATCCTGCTGGGCATTGATCTCTTAGCGGTCCCTGGTAGAATGTGCGCCAGTGGCGGGAGTACATGCGCGGGTCTGGTTGGAGCGGCGTCCGCGGTTCCTTGGTGTGGTGTTTTAGCGGGAATTCCAGAGCACATGGTTTTCATTGGTAACTAGTGTGCACGGAATTCACATGCACTAGCAGCTGAGAGCTGTGCACGGTGTGTTTCACATGCACTAGCAGCTGAGAGCTGTGCACGATGTGTTTCACATGTACTAGCAGCTGAGAGCTGTGCACGGAATCCACATGCACTAGCAGCTGAGAGCTGTGTTTCACATGCACTAGCAGCTGAGAGCTGTGCACGGTGTGTTTCACGTGCACGAGCATATACTCCCCTTGATATTGTGCATTCAGATGTATACATGCGTCTCATTGGCTGACTCTGTGTGATGTGAATGTATTGAGGAACTGATTGGCTGTCGGGGCCGCCACTTCCTGCCTGTGTGTCCTATAAAGGGATCTCGCTGCATTAGATAGGACCGAGAATCCACAGCGAGCGTCTGATTTTTACTTGGGACTGCTGAGCGCGCTCCATCATATTATAGAAGGAGAGCGGAGGGCGGGGCTTTGTAGCGCAGAGGATTTCAGACAGTTCCTGCCAATCATTCTTACCTCATTCTTAAGGCACACGCTGACCTGCTCATGGAAGATGTCCAGCAATTCCTCAATGTTTTGTCTGCAGAGACACGAGTCACCGATCAATAATACCATCCAATCACCGATCAATAATACCATCCAATCACCGATCAATAATACCATCCAATCACCGATCAATAATACCATCCAATCACCGATCAATAATACCATCCAATCACCGATCAATAATACCATCCAATCACCGATCAATAATACCATCCAATCACCGATCAATAATACCATCCAATCAGCGATCAATAATACCATCCAATCACCGATCAATAATACCATCCAATCAGCGGATCACCGATCAATAATACCATCCAATCAGCCGATCACTAATACCATCCAATCACCGATCAATAATACCATCCAATCAGCCGATCACCGATCAATAATACCATCACCCCCTCATAGCACTCTCCCATCACGCCCTCATAGCACTCTCCCATCCTCCAATGCCCCCTCATAGCACTCTCCCATCCTCCAATGCCCCCTCATAGCACTCTCCCATCCTCCAATGCCCCCTCATAGCACTCTCCCATCCTCCAATGCCCCCTCATAGCACTCTCCCATCCTCCAATGCCCCCTCATAGCACTCTCCCATCCTCCAATGCCCCCTCATAGCACTCTCCCATCCTCCAATGCCCCCTCATAGCACTCTCCCATCCTCCAATGCCCCCTCATAGCACTCTCCCATCCTCCAATGCCCCCTCATAGCACTCTCCCATCCTCCAATGCCCCCTCATAGCACTCTCCCATCCTCCAATGCCCCCTCATAGCACTCTCCCATCCTCCAATGCCCCCTCATAGCACTCTCCCATCCTCCAATGCCCCCTCATAGCACTCTCCCATCCTCCAATGCCCCCTCATAGCACTCTCCCATCCTCCAATGCCCCCTCATAGCACTCTCCCATCCTCCAATGCCCCCTCATAGCACTCTCCCATCCTCCAATGCCCCCTCATAGCACTCTCCCATCCTCCAATGCCCCCTCATAGCACTCTCCCATCCTCCAATGCCCCCTCATAGCACTCTCCCATCCTCCAATGCCCCCTCATAGCACTCTCCCATCCTCCAATGCCCCCTCATAGCACTCTCCCATCCTCCAATGCCCCCTCATAGCACTCTCCCATCCTCCAATGCCCCCTCATAGCACTCTCCCATCCTCCAATGCCCCCTCATAGCACTCTCCCATCCTCCAATGCCCCCTCATAGCACTCTCCCATCATCCAATGCCCCCTCATAGCACTCTCCCATCCTCCAATGTTTGCAGCTTTGTGTAGAGAAGGGTCATGTGATCTATGACATCATACCGGGTGATGGGCTCCTGGAAGGGCCGGTCCAGCAGGGACAGATGTCTGGTCAGGTCGATGGGAGTTGCGTCATCTTCAGCCTAGAAACAGAAGAATTCCAGAATAAGATCACAGGAAGTCCCCGATGATTGTGCGATCAGGAGACACAGAACAGGAAGTCCCCGATGATTGTGCGATCAGGAGACACAGAACAGGAAGTCCCCGATGATTGTGCGATCAGGAGACACAGAACAGGAAGTCCCCGATGATTGTGTGATCAGAGGGTGGAGGGGGAAGGTTGAATCCTATCACATGTACACAGAGCTGAGAAAGGCCTCAGAGGGGCCCCACAGAGCACAGGGGCCAGTACAGGGAGCCCAGCAATGGAGGATCGACCCCCCGCTCAGTGACGGAGACACCAGAGAGACAGGAAACAGGAAGTGAACACGCAGCTCATTGTCAGGAATCCCGCCGGACCATTTCCTATCAATTGTTACTGGCTGGAGGGTCTGAT